ATCTAAATCCGAAAAGTTTATTTAAATAATAGAAGTCGCTCCGTGCACACCGACAATAGCAAAGCTTTGAGTGTGCTTCAACCATGAAAAATCTCCTCATAAAAACTCATCTCATCGAAAGCGCAGTTACGCTGTAAGTCCCTACATTGGTTTGTTGACATCACGACGCACACCCCAAATTATAGCAGAAGCTTGGCCAAACATTTAACTGAAATGTGAGTTTCAAATATTTTTTTATACACACACATTTGTATATACTTATATGTATATTAACATAACTCTCAATTCCCATAGGGATTTTCATACCAATTTTTTCGAAAAATATGCCACCAACGAACGACCCAATGGCCTAATAATAATTTATAGCATATTTACTTTATATAATTTTTCATAATAACCCAATTTAATTTTTGTTTAGTCGTCTGCATTCCATGCATGCTACACCATTTTATCCAAGCTACATAGATGGTACCCACTCGAACTTAATGTATTTGAGTTTAGCCCTTTTGAACTGGCTTTTGTCGCATTATTAGCATGTCTGTACATGTGTATATGTGAATGTATTGTTTGATTGATAGCGTAATTCGTTGGTTGGTTACGCAGAGTAATTTGTGATATACCTATGTAAACATATACAATTACATTTGTAGGTATTTTTGCATATAGTACGCGGTGACATCGTATGTAATACTTAATAATTCCCTCTTTAGTGGTCACCTATTTCGTGATTGAACGTGATACTCATTGGCCGTATGGTAAACCAAATTTACTTCTGGACATTAGTGCTATGAACTCGAACTTCGACTTACATAATTTTAATTAAATTATATCGTCACCTGAAATGCAAAAATACGTAACAAACATCGTCGCTGAAACACAAAAAGTCGTAACTAATAAAAAATTCCAAAATTCAGTTTTTGATTGATATAATGAATTACAACTCCCACATCATTTTGTGAGAAAAAAAATTTTTAGTCAGGACTTTTGCCCACTACGTTGTTGTTACGTCCTTTTGCATTTCAGGTGACGATATGTAAAGAACGGGAAAATATCCACAGGGAACTACTTATGTGAATAAATGTGACAACGAATAAGGCTTAAATATTCGTACGATATAGAAAATTATGGATAATAATAGAGAATGACATGAATTTCGAAAAAAAGATCGAAAACTGTAGCGCAAATAAGAGTAATAAAACTGTCGATAAATACCTTAGTATCAACTCAAATTGAATAAAAAACTCAACACCGTCGATGAAGGAGTAGCATTGAGACTATGGAGCACAATTTGCATACCTCCCAGCCAGGTAATCTGCTCCAATTCGCCCCAATGCGTGTTATAGAAATTATAGAGATCAATTGCTGTTAACTTCAAAAGTTTTAATAAATTTAAAAACGTTTGGACTTTCATCATTTAAAAACTATAAGTAAAATTGTGGCCATCAAAACTCAGTTCTAAAGCTAAAAATTAATATTCTCGTATTAGATTAAAATTTAAAATTTAAATTTAATTTAAATTAAATTGAGCCCACTTTTTAAGTTACAAAAAAAAAAGATGTCCACTTTTAAATTACTGGTTTTATTAACCAAAAAAAAAATCGCTTTTCAAATGTCCGTAAAATTATATTCAGTTTTTTAATATCCATAAAATTATGTCCAGATTTAAAATAAAGGAGAGTTTTTAAAAGGTTTTAAGATAGCTCAAAATGCGGGTCCAGTTTCTAATGGACAAAATTGTATAGATACATACGATTATGTGCAGTTTTAAAATAACTGATAATTTTTAAATTACCAAAAAATTGGATACAGTTCTTAAATGACCAATTTCACATGACCAACAATTTTTAAGTTACCAGAAATCTGTGTATAATTTTTAAATGGCCAAAAATTGATGTCCAGGTTTCACATGACCGAACAAAAATATTTCTGTCTGGTTTTTTGAAACTTAAAGAAGTTTCTAGTTTTGAAATTATCAAAAATGTATTGCATTTTTTAAATATCGAAAAATTTATGTCTAATGTTCTATGACTAAAAATGTAGGCTCGATTTTTCAATAACCAAACTACACGTATAATTTTTAAGTACTGATAAAATGTATGTTTCCTTTTCAAATAATAATAAAAAAATATTAAACAAATAAAAAATAACCTTCCAATTAAATTTAGACTCATTGAAGTCTGGCATATTGCTTTTCTAAAGCTGCTAATCACAGAAGTAGTCACTCATAGATTTTCCCCATACATTAAGTTGTAACTAACGCACGTACATTAAGGTGGTCCAGTTTTTTTTTTTTAGCCAACCCAGTACTGAAGAATATCGAAAATATAGAAACTCGTTTTATTTTATTTTAAAATCGGTTAACATTTAACCATATGATAACCAATGATTTGAAACTGTAAAATGTAAACTGAAGCTGTAACTTTTAAGCGATTTGGTTAATTTTTCTTCGAAATGGAAGCTAATACAATTTAGAAGAGACTGCCCACTTTTCGAAGTGTTATTTTGTATATAAAATTTTTTAGTGCAAAGGACAAAGAAGCAGAAATTGTGAATAAAATCGATTTTACTGTTCCTTTTAATGAATGTTGCATAATAAAAACTAGCTGAAAACAAAAAATGCCCAAGAAAAATTTGAAATGTTATAAAGAAAAATTCTCTAATATTATCTTTTTTTTTAATTCTTAGAAAAATTTGCAATTTTGTAGCCTATTAAATTTTAGTACAATAAAGTGCATATTTCAACTGGTTAAAAAACGCGTTGATTTTTTAATATTTTTATGGCAGCTACGGTGCTAGACATTTCCTTCTTCTTTTTTCTTAAATTTTTCAGTTTCAAACCACTGTCCGCGGTTAAATATTAACCCATTCTAAAATAAAAAATCGGGTCTTCCTACTTATTTTCCATTTTCTATACCTGTGNATGGGAATTTTTAATTTTAATAAAATAAGTCAACTCTCTAAACTTATTAGTGCCTGCACACAATCACAATTATTTAACTAATCTTATATGACTTAAAATCCAAGAGCTGATGTGAATAAATAATACTTAGTAAGTGCACGCTACTGTGGCATATACATATTTGCATATTTGCATGACAACACGAAATCTCCGCTGAAGTTATTCCAACGAATTGTCGTCTTTTGACAGCCAAAAAACCAAAAAAAAAAAAAAACAAATAAGTACTTGGAAATCTATGTGCCACCTTGCTTTCGCTGCTGCGGTGATTTTGGTTTTTTATTTCGTTTCTGCCAAAAGTGACTGCCAGTGACACTGCCAATGTACAAATGTCCATCAAAAAGGTTTGTGCCGTAATGAAAACACGTCCAGCAATAAAATAAATAAGTAAAACAAGGCGAAATTCACCTTTGCCGGGTTAAGTGATCGCGTGACACAAATTACATCCGCAATATAGTCACATTTACACATGCATACATACAAACACTTCTCGGTGTTATACACGTGCTCGCATGGAAGTGACGGAAAAACTATTTTACCATTTTGTACAAGGATGTGCCGCGACACCGAAACATCATTCAAAGTGAAAAGAGATTTCTGAGTTGCTGTGACACGACACGATATACTTAGTATATATGTACATACATATGCATATACTATGTATGTAAGTATTTATGTAGTAAACTTTCAGTGGCACGTGTTCGCAAATTATCTTAGAATTCGGTATCTAGATAAACCAAAATTATAATAAAAACTTAACATTAACTAAGGGAAGTTATCTTTGTGGGACCGGGATCAGTTATCGATTTCCTGTGTTACATTGTTATAGAAATTCAACGTGTCATAGGAAAGAAAATTGCTACGGTTTTTATGGATTCAAAATCACCTTATGGGTCAAACATAGGAAAGAAGATACTAATAATGCCAAAGAAAACGTCGATGCAATTCTAAAGAAAAATAAATAAAAACCATTGGGACTATATCGATGGCTGAGTGGAAGATCGACCTATCTCGGCAGCCAATTCGAAAACGCCCTATCTCAGAAAATTTTTGAACAACGCTCTATCTCAGAAAACTTTTCAAGAACGCCCTACCTCAGAATTTGATTGAGAAACGTCAGTAGAAGATGCGCGAGAAACGATGTGACAGAAGGGTTAAATTATAAAATAAAGAATGAAATCATAAAATAGTGCTTGTACCGTGAATTAAATTACACTGTCAGAAAAATCTCCAGTTTTGTAATGACGAAAAACGCCGCAAGACGTAAATTTCTAAACTATATATTGTCTTTCTAGCTCATGTCGTTTTCCCAAGATGTTTTCATTTTTATGGAAAAAAATAAAAATTTTTGAAGGGAAAAAATAACAGATTTTTTCTTTTTTTTCATTTCTTTCAAAGACTTTGATTCTACAAAAAAAACAAGCGCCAAAAGTAGAAAATCGTTGGATAAATAAATAACAAGGTATAGAATGGTCAAATGAAAACGCAAGAAAAAATTTTTTGTATGAAATATGAGCAGGAAAAAATGTTACTCATACGCTATGTACGTGTATGTTACTTTTTTCGTTGTGAAATTCTGATTTTTTTTTTTCATTCACAATATAAACTTGAAATGACAATTTCTTTGGAAAATGCCGGTATAAATTCATTAAACTTATTGACTTTTAGACATGAAAAATGTTAAGCTGACCTCTGGAAATATTTGAAGTAAGGATATTTCACAAAAATGCTATTTAATTCAAGTGTTTTCCCTAGTGTGTTTGCATAACAGTTAAAATAAGCGTGCCAAGAATGCGAATAAAATAATTTGGAACTTCCACGGAATTAAATTTTCCTCCGAATTCGCACCGAGTATGGTTTGCGAAGAAAATGATTTCAACAGAAATCAATTAAATATTTCAATTCTTAACTGTTATTGAATATTCGCACATTCAGCTGTATGAACTCATTAAATATGTAAGTACATACTTGTAGATAGTACAGTATCAAAAAAAAAAAACAAAAATAACTATGCATATGTATACATTTTAATAAATATACTTACGCTGCATCGACTGAGGCGATTTTCTTCATTGGCTCTTGCACGATCAGCGCTAAATTGAATGCCAGCCAGAGGGTGATGAGCCGTGCGCGCGGTAACAGCATAACTGTTGTGCACTTATCCCACACTGATATGCTGCCACAGCCACTACCACTACCACTGCTCCTGCTGCTGCTGCTGCTCCTGCTGCTGACACCGTTTGCACTGCCGCCGCTAAAGGCCATATTGATGATTTACAGCCTCTATATTTACCAATACAGCCAATAATGTGGTTGCGCGAGGGGCCAATATATGCTTTATTTTAATAAATTTAACGATGACGAGGCAATGTTGCTGTCGCTGATGCCAGAGGGGCGCATTTACAATTCACAGCATTTTGCATACATACATACATACATACACGTACATAGCTGTGCGAAGTGAATAGCTGGATGAATATTGCGATTGGCTTTTGTTATTGTTTATTGGTTATTGCTGGTGGCGTAGGCGTGGGCGTTGGTTGGTTGCTTGATTGGGGTTGCCTGCTTGATTCGTTTATACAACTTCTGTTATTAATATTTTGTCCGCTTTACGTGTGTTGCTGCCGTCTTTTGTTCCAAAGCGTCAGTTGAGCATATATGGACTTTAGTAGTAGTTGATGACGTTATTTGAGTCTTTTTTTTTTAGGTTGCTTTTGTGTTAGAGCCTTCTATTAATATTGTTTTCTTGTCGAAGCTGCGCTGGCATTTCCTAGCATTCTAGCCACTGATGAAATTACATTCAGTAGGTTTATTTTTAGCATTAGGACATAGCACACTTGGAGCCTCTGTAAATTGTATACCACAATTTTCGCTAGAATTCAATTCAGGGCATCCAATTTTTTTTTTTTTTTTTTTTTTTGTAAGAAAGATTAGCTAATCTATAGTTGGTGAGAATAGCAGTTGTGTTTTTAACTTCTTTTCGCTGCTTCTCAGGATTTGGTGTCGTTGCGAATTCCTCACGTTTTTTATTTATACTTTAATGGCAGGATAACTGATTGGTTTGTTTAAATAGTTCATGCGGTGCAGGTACTAACTAACTCTGCGCTCTACACTACATACAGATCTTGAGCCCAGTTGTATGGACTTTGAGTTAGCTTCAGCTAGACTGACTCTGCTTGATTAGTCTGAAATAATTCGTTTGCAAGCATTTGCACTTCATTTGTATTCGACGACTTTCTTAATTTTCTCTATATATCTCCTTCTAACCGTTTTTTTATTTCTTTTCCCTTTCTTTGGTTGCTAGGTGTGTGCTTCGGGACCTCTTATTTCCACCATCATTTTCACTGTGCTTCATCTATGCAGCCCCTATCACAGCAGGTCGTAGTGTTGCGTGCGTCTGCCGCTAGTTACAACAAGTATAAATGAGCAAAAATTTAAATAAAAACAAACAAAAAAACACTTATAAAACTTAAACGCAGTGTAATTTCAGATTTTCTATCAAAAGTCGTTG